GCTGGGAGTGCTGGGGAGGTGCAAAGCCAGGTCATTACTGACTCTGACACTCACTAACAAACCCCAACCTGAGCGACTGCTGGGGAACTCACTGCTCCTGGATTCCTTTCAGCAGGAATCTGAGGCACTTTTGGACTCCTACAAGGCACCTTTCAGCATCATTAAGCACCTAAACACCTTTACAGATCTGTCCCCAGGAAATCTCCTGTCCAAACCCTGCAGTGTCTGGCAGTTTTACACAAAAGCAACAACTTTTTCAGGAGCACAAACCCTATTTCCAGCTGAGGAGCAGGCAGAGAACAGTGCAACCCACAGCAGCTCGTGCATTGCTGCAAGGTTTCTGTCTCCTGCAAACCCAGTTCAGAGTGTTTCACCTTCCTGCAGGGATGGAAAGAAATCATTCCTTTACTGGATGAAACAACAATTTTTCTCCCCCCTGTCCAGCTGCAGATGGGAACAAGTTTGTCACACCTTGGCTCCATCAGAGCTGGGTTGTGGTGCCTGTAAATTCAGTTTAATTAATGAACTTGCCCTTTCTCACAGCTTGGCTGGAGCCAAGGGAGTTGATGGTGGTTTTGCTGAAAAAATGTTTAGAAATACACCTGACACCTCAACAGAACACAAAATGAACTGCCAAGAGGGTAATGCAAACCAAGGGACAAAATAACATTATCAGACAATTGGGTAACAAAATGTGCAGTGGAATATTCAGATAGAAGGTATCTGGGCAACGGGATTGTCAGATGATATCTTAAACATTGTTCCACGATAAAACGTGTTCAGGCAGATGGGTAAACCCACTGCTTTCCTCCTTTTTGTGGGGTATTTGCATATTTAATTATCCACCCTATTCTGCTGCCTTTTCTGTATGGTTTCTGCTGGGGATTGAAAATCAAGAGTTCAGTTCTTATCAGACCTGATTGTTCATCTTCCAGAGGGACTGACTTATCACATTAATGAACACGTGGCTTTTGTTGCATGAGGTTTTTGTTGGCTTCATTATTTGATTTTTTCTCCAGTTTCCATGTCTTTCTCTTGCTAAAATATAAACTGGTTCATTCAAGGACCCTCTTTGCTGTCTGTACACGCACAAAACCTGTCTTAAGAGGATCCAGACTAATCCAGGAGAGTTCTTAAGCATTATCCCAGAAAAAAACCAGTTTTTTCTTTCTTTTCCCATCATTTTAGCCATAGTAACACTTTAACTGCTGTAGTTTTGATTTGGACACAGGAGGGCACCAGAATTCCATTTCTTAAACTTCAGTTGTGCCACAAAAAATAAAAAAGATGAGACGATTTCAGAAAAATCTGTAAGAACAGGGCATTTTTAATGACTTTAACTTCACATTTAAAAACTTAGAGACATTTAGAAATGTAGAGAAAATTCTCCTTTTGCAGCCTGATCGTTTGCAAATGTGTTGCTCTTTCAGCTATAAAGGACCCAGGAGGAACACGACTTTTTTAGAGCACTAAAAATGTGGGTGAACCTCAGTCACCCAAATTCTCCCCAGCTCTGATCTGTCCCTCAGAATCGAGGGTTTGATGTGGCTGAGAGTTAATTTCTGCTGCAGCCTCAATTAGAATTTAATTATTGATCCTGTTCCTGCTCGGGGCAGAGAAGAACAGGCTCCCCACCAATGGCCTTGTGAAGCAACAGAGAAAATGAGAAGGAAAACATGGATTTGGTGATAAAAAATGAAATAAAAGACTTTCTGAAATAACTCCACCTTTCAGTGAGAGCTGAGCTCGCTCCCTGACACTTGAAAATCCAGATATTTGATGGAGCATTCCCCAAGTTCCCCCACTTGGGTAAAACCAGCACTCCAGTTGCTACTTGCCTGCCTTTCATGCTTTGCTCTGGTTTTCATTTGCTGCCAAGAATTTGTTTCACCTGGGCTGGAAAAACACTGGCACAGCTCAGGCAGCTTATCTAAAAATCAGGAATCTTACAGTAAAATCAAGGCCTGGGCTGTCAGTTCCACTCATGAGCAGAGAACTGGCAATCAGAATTCAGGAGGCATTGAAAGAGAGTGGGTGTCTCCATGAAAACTTTTCCTCTTTGATGATCTGGCCCCAGATCTCAGCAGGTTCCTCAGTCCCCCTCCTGTCCCCTACAGGACACCTCTCATGGAGCTGTTTCTCCTCTTTTTTTGGGGGGTTGTGCTGCAGAAATCAATGCCCAGGCCAAGTAAAATAAAAGAAATAAAGAAAGAAATAAAACTGCCTTTCTAAGGAAAGAAACAGCTGATTTTGCTCTGCTGAGGAAAAACATTTTAACTGATTTTGGGTGTTAGCACACAGAGGGCACTTTGAATTTCAGCAAAGAATATTTCATTCAAAGCACTGAAACTTTTACAAGATCTAACCATCAGCCATGGAGGGTGATGGATGGAGCACTCCCAGGATGGAAGGGAATGCAGAGTGATCCAAAATCCCCGTTCTCCTCTGCTTCTCTTGCTGCCATACACGGCACAAAAAGGCCACAGAAAAGCCACATCCCAATCGTAGCAGGGAATATTTTGAAATCCAGATAGTCCAAAATCACACCTAGAAAATCATGGTTAACTGTCTTGACATCCCAGTGACACTGCTCTTCACGTGAAGGCCCCCAAGCCCTTTGCAATATGAAGTTTCCATTTATAAAGCCTGGGTGAATCTTTCAGGATTTGCCAAACCCACCAATATTTTCTGTTCCCATCCCACCAGGAGGGGCCTTGGCAGGGCCTGTGCTCTCTGTGAGCCCCCAGCTCCAGGGAAACACACCCTGGCCCCACTCAATCTTTAACCAGAGGAACTGCAGCTTTTCCTGCATGACAACAAGGATTTTATGTGCCAGAACAACGTCTGAGCGAGGCTGGCTATGCTGAGTTGGTGTTCTATAAATAACAAATCAGTTGAGCAGCTCCAGCTTGCAAATTTTGTCTCCTTTTTCTTCTGTCCCTCCCTGCCACGCTCTGTGCTGAGCCTCAGGTGCTGCTGGAGTTCTCAGGAGCACCTTGAGCCCCTGGGCTGCTGTGTCTGGGGAGGAGCTCTGGGAGCATCTCCCCAGCAGCAGCCTTTGGACAAGATCCAAACATCATTTCAGGGCAGGGTTTGGGTCGGGGTTATGAACTTTCTATAAAAACGGTTATGAATTTTCTATAAATAGGGTTACGAATTCTCTATAGATTAATTCCCCCCATTTGGCTGCCTGCTGTGAACTGGGTGTGACAGGACTGCACATCCTGGGTGAGTAACACTCTGTGTGTGTGACAAACCCAGCTCTGTTCCTGGGGGGTGCCAGATCAGCACCACTGTCACAAAAACCAGGGCACTGTGCCTAAGGGTGACATTGAGTGTCCTGCGTGCAGCTTTCGGCTTTTATTTGGATCTATTTGTTAGAGCAAATTGCTGATAATTAATTCTTATTTGTGCTGCTCTGCCTTTTACAGGCGCCAGTGAAGAGGAAGGAAAACTGAACTTACTGGAAACTCAGGTGAGAGAGGAGGGAGTATGGAAAACTCTTCCTGAACATGCCAGGCTGGAATCAGAGAGATCCAAAGTGATCTGCCCAGGGCACCCTGAGAGCTGAGCAACAACTCTGCCCTGCTGCCTCTCACCTGCAGTGTAAAATAATCACAAATGTGATGATCTCTCCAGATCTTCATGCTTTAATGCAATTAAAGGAGTGGTCAGATGTTAAAATATTCTGAATGATCATTGTTTTCTTTCATGAGACAGAGGTGTCCTGTCTCTGGCAGGGGGCTGTAAGGAGATAAATAAAGTCCCCTCCAGTCCCAATATTCCATGATTCCATGGGCTCCACAGGCACTAATACAGACCACATCCAGTTACTACAGCCCTGGAGAGATGGGAAGAGCCTGGATCTCCTCGGTTTGGCCCCAAGGCTGGGTGAACCATGTGATTTAACACCTCTTTGGGTGTTATTGAGCACCCCCGTCCCGGGAGCTTTGCCAGCCCAGCCCACACACCTGTAGGATCCAGCCAGCCCCGCTCTGGCCCTGCAGGACCCAGCTGCTGCTCAGCTGGTCCCCGTGTCCCCAGCTCGAGGTGCTTCACCTCAAAGCCCTTTCTGGAGTGGCAGCTCCTGCGCCTGGAGCGCGGCTTTGCGTCACCGAGCGCCGAGTCAATCTCGAGAACATCGAGTCTCCTGTGAAGTGTGGCCCTGTGACATTTCCCAGATTCCTGGAGTGCTTTTCGAGTAACCTCGTTGTTTTCTTAGCTATTAATGAGTTACTGGGAACAGCGCAGCAGCCTGGGAGCAGCCTGGGCTGGTGGAAGGGCTGGGATGACATGGGCATGAAGGTCCCTTCCAACCCAAACCACGTCGTGATTCTGCAGAATCCCAGAATATCCTGAGCTGGAAGGGACCCACAGGGATCATCCAGCCCAGCCCCAGGCCCTGCACAGACACCCCAAAATCCCACTCTGGGCATCCCTGGCAGCGCTATCCAAAGGCTCCTGGAGCTCTGGCAGCCTCGGGGCCGTGCCCATTCCCTGGGGAGCCTGGGCAGTGCCAGCACCTCTGGGGAAAGATCCTTTCCCAAAATCCAACCTCTCCCTGGTATCCAACCTTTCCCTGACCCCCAGCTTTCCCTGATCCCCACGCTCTGGCTGACAGTGAAACCCCTCATTTCCAGTGACAGCGGGGCCATTTCTGCACGCTCGCACCCCAAATCTTGAAGCAGCAATACCGAACCCACGACCCGGCTCAGTCCCGGCTCAGTCCCGGCCCAGTCCCGAGCGCGGCCCCACCGCCGCTCCGCTGTGGCCGTGTCCCGGTCCCGGGGCGGGGCCGTGCGGGGCAGGTGATGCCGGGGGCCGGGAGAGCCGCCTCCTTCTCTTCTTCCTCCTCCTCCTCCTCCTCCTCCTCCTCCTCCTCCCGCCGCGCTCTCCCCGCCCTCTCCTGCGCTCGGCGCGCCGGGGGCGGCTGTAAAGTTGGGCGTGTGCCGGGGAGTTTTGGAGCGTGTTTGGGATCGAGTTCGGGAGGCAGGAGCGGGGCCAGGAGCGGGGCCAGGAGCGGGGCATGGCTGAGCAGCCCGGGGCGCCCGGCCCGCGGCTCCAGCGCGGGGCTGCGGCGGGCGAGGCGCTGCGCTGAGCAAGCCCCGAACCCCCAAAAGCCCCCGAGCCCCCCAAGCCCCCCGGGGTCCCCGGACCCCCCCGGGACCCCCAGACCCGCCGGCATGGCTCGCTGGATCCCCACCAAGCGCGAGAAGTACGGGGTCGGTGAGTGAGTGCCAGCCGGGATGCCCCGGACCTCTGCGCCCCTTCCCATCCCATTCCTCCCTTTCCGTGCCTTCCCTCTGTTCCGTACCTTCTCTCCCACTCCGTCCCATCCCTTTTCTTCCATCCCGTCCCTTTCCCTCCTTTTCCTTCTGTCCCTTCCTTTCCTTTCTCTCCCATCCCCTCCCGGAGCCTGTTCGTGCTCTGCGCATCCCTTTCCGCTCCTCTGCCGTGCCCCGTCCGGCGGTGCCCGCTCCCCGAATCCATCGGGCTGTGTGTCCGGCGCTGTTCTCCAGGAATCCCTCAAAGTTCGGGGATGACTTTTATCATTTTGCCTCTCCAGCATGTTTTACGCTGAAAAGAGCTCTAGCACAGCAGAAGAAATTTGCCTGCTGGTGTGCCTGGAAGGAGATGTGGTTGGAAAGGATAAAGAGGGTGTCATGGGCAAATTGAGGGCTCAGGGTGACGTCTTTGCCAGCGGCTGGAGATCTGGATTTGGGGTGAGGGATGGGGAAAGCTTGACTGGAAGTATGCCAGGCCAGGTTGGACGGGGCTTGGAGCAGCCTGGGATAGTGGAAGGTGTCCCTGCCCATGGCAGAAGTGAAACTGGAGGAGCTTTAAGGACCTTCCGACGCAAACCGTTCCATGACTCTGTGATTGACACCTTGAACCTCCTGCTCTGTCCCCTGTTTAAAAGGATTTTTCTGAGTGCTGGCTCACTTGTATCTAACAGGAACAGAACTCTGCGGTGTTGCTGATAAAATTCCGCTTTGCTTGAGAGTTTTAAACCCACAGTTTTGGGGTTGGTGGTGAGAATTGGGCAGGGAACATTTGGCAGGAAGCCACTTATGACACAGAGCTTTTGGTGATTTATGTTACTAAGAGTGATCTTCTGTGCCACTGGTGCTCAGCACTGGACTTCTCAATGTGAGAAAAAATTACTAATTTCGTGCTTGCAAAGTGTTCATCACCCCAGCTCCCATGAGGGTGTTCAGCGTGTGAGTTTGAAGGTGAAAAACCTCACGCTGCATGATTTTCACAGCGAATTTGAGCACTTCAGAGTGGCTGTGCAGGGAGGCAGCTCAGCTCCTCGCAGGAGCTGCAGAGACATTTTACACCGCACAGCCTTATCTGGTTTCTCCAGGTAACTGGCAGGGTGTGGAGTGCTGACACCCTGAACTTTGTTTCTTGCTGTTTATCCATGGAAGTGTGTACACGGCCCGCTGAGATTGCTGCGGGCACCCGTAACTCCCAAACTTTGGTGGATGATCAGATAACCCATATCCTGCCGGCTGACTGCTGTGCTGGTGTTTTCTGAGCACACCTTTGAGCAGGCTGTTCCCCAGCTCCGAATGGCCTTGGGCAGCAGATGAATCAGAGGCACTCCTCTGACTTCCCCTTTATTTATTACCTTCCGGGGTGAGTTTTCCGTGCTGGCCTCAGCCAGCTGCTCCTTGTGACAGCTCCCCTCCCAGAAAGGGCACTGGCCTGACAGTAAGCAGGGTGGAGGGAAAAAATGCCTCTTCCTGCATGTTTCCACCCAAAAAGTGTGTGGTGGGATGTACCCTGTGGCTCCTGGGTGATCAGCTGGGTGAAAGAAAGGTGTTTTTTCCCCCCAGTGACATGGGGGCTGTCCTGCTACAGCTCTGGGGTTTAATTTGCAGCCAGGATTGATAAAGTTGATCCACAGGCAGTGGCAGAATTATTTAGGCACTGCCTGGCTTTGTCAGACTTTGACAAAGAGTCAGAGTTTGTCAGAGTTTGACTCACTTGCACTGTAATTTTGTCAGTTTGGTGTTTGCAGACTTGATGAGTTTCTCATCTGCAAGTGTGTCCCGTGCTGTGCTCGAGGGCCCAGCTCTCCCTGCTTTGGGGTCACCTGGCAGGGGTTGGTGAGGTTTGAGAGGGAGGTTTGGGCTTTTGGGCTGGGGTGTACCAGTGCTGAAGTGGCTGCAAGGACAGAATGCCCCACTTTGTGTGGGGTGGTGACAAATCCCAGCCAGGCATGAAGTGCAAAGGCACAGCTCTTGTTCAGAAAGAAAAGAAAAGACTGAGGGGGAATCTCACCAATCCATACAAACATCTCCAAAGGGTGCCAGGGTGGTGCCAGAGCCTTCCCAGTCATAACAAAACACAAGTTCCACCTCACCATGAGGAAGAACTTTTTCTGTGGAGGTGGCAGAGCCCTGGAAGGCTCCAGGGAGGGCCTGGAATCTCCCTCTAGTGACATCCCAAAGCCACCTGGATAATTCCTGTGTCACCTGCTCCAGCTGACCCTGCCTGGGCAGGGGCTTGGACTGGATGAACTCCAGAGGTCCCTTCCATCCCTAAATAGTCTGGGATTCTGCAAAAGAGCACCCAGGTTGTAGCTGGTGATCTCTGCTTTGGAAACTTCTGTAGAGCTGCTTGGATTTATTTAAAACAGACCCTGGAAGTCATGGCAATGAAGTGGGGAATTCCAGGAAGTCAGCCGTGTGATTCAGTGTCACTTGTCTGATTTCTGCCCTTCAGAAGGGTTTCTGTCCTGGGTTAGATGTTACAGGTCATGCATTGTGAGTTCCAGTGGATTTGCTGGGTTTAGTTCTGCCCTGAACTGGTTAAACTGGGGAGGGCTCCCTTCCCCACAGATGGCAGAGGGCTGAGTTTGGAGTGGCAGCAGCAGGGAGGGCAAAACTGGGAATTGCAGTTTTTAGGGAAGCAAACGTGAGAGACAAGCAGCTTGCAGCTCTTGCAGCTTCTCCCTCGCAGTGAGTTCCCAACCAAGTGACAGATGGGATTTGGGAGGGACAGAAGCACCACGGCTCAGCTCGCAGGCAGCATCTCCTCCCTGAGCTGCAGGGTCTGCTGGGTCTGCCACAGCCTCCTTGCCACAGGCTTCACCTCTGATGTTGGACTGAAGGAGCATCTTCATGGGAAGCTGATCAGTTCTTGGGCCACACTGAACAAAATAACCTATTGTGCTCATGTGTTTCTCTCAAAAAGGAGTTGTCATTTGCAGAAATTCTTTCACAAAGACTCCTTCCAGTCAAAAAACTGCTCTGAGGGAAAGAATACCTTAGTGAATTTCCAAGACTTTTACCTTTCCTTATCTATTTGTTTAAAAATTATTAACTTCGAGCATAAGGAACCAATAATGTAATTACTTTCTTTTTCTGCTGGCAGTAACCTGGATTTGCACTTTAACTCAAGTGCTGCACCTGGGTTGTAAAAGCAATTCTGTCATTGCTCATCAGCTGTTCTTCCCTTTGTGGCCTGAAGACTTAATGGAGTGAGAGAACCTGGAGTCTGTGGAATCTGAAATTAGTCTGTAATAAATCCATTGTAAACAAGCCACCAGGCCCCTTTTCCTGCCCCCTTTCTGCTGGAGTGGCAGTGCTGGGCCAGGGCAGGGAGCTGCCCAGCTCAGAGCAGAGCAGGAGTGGCAGTGGCACTGCTGACTTTGGGGCCAGGCTGCTTTCCAGGTGTCTGCAGTGGTGATGGATCAGCACACCAGGTTCTTGTGGCCCCTCTGACTATGAACCAACAGGATGTGAAGTGTTTATTCATCCTTGTGCAGCCTGAGCTGAAAATGCACCAATTGTTCAGTGAATACACAAATCAGAGCTTCCAGAATCATCAGGAATTATTAACTCAGGTTTGCTTGGAAGAGCTCTGAGATGTGAAAACCAGAGTAATTTGCATTTTGGTGAAGGTGGTGGCTTGCACCTGGATGCACTGGGAGGGCTGGGGGGATTCCATTGTCCTGAGGGAACAGCTGGAGCTGTGCCAGGGGGTTTTTGGTTGGATTTTGGGAAAGGTTCTTCCCCCAGAGGGTGCTGGGCATGAGACTGCCAGAGCTCCACGAGCTTTTGGACACCAGGGATGCCCAGGGTGGGATTTTGGGGTGTCTGTGCAGGGCCTGGGGTTGGATCAGCAATCCCTCCCAGCTCAGGACATTCCATGATTCTTTGACCCTCATTTTTGGGGCAGTGTGGCTGTTCCACCGAGTTTTTGTGGTGAGACCTGGGAGATTACCCTGGAATTACCCCTGCCAGGTTTTGGTGGCCTCTCCCAACCCTGGCACCTGTCCTGGCTGGCAGGAGCAGAGCATTGAGCTGCTTTATTTGAAAATAAGCATTGAAATCTTTCCTTTGTGGGATCCCACTGGTGGTTGGTTCCAGTCATGGCTCAGGAATGGCAGCAGCTCCTCAAACACCAAGCAGGGCCTGCCAGCCCTGGGGGATTGATGGAGCAGGGAGGGAGCTGCAGGACCTGGTCTGCTCACTGTGGTTTGGTTTGTGGTGACTCCTGTGATACCTTGGATTGGCTGCCTAGAACAGGGGCTAGACAGAGTTTAAGTGGGTATTTTTAAATAATAAATATATTAATAAGAATAATAATTATAAATAATAATATTAATAATAAATAATATTAAAGGCTTCACCCTGGGCAGTCAGAAGCCTCCAAGGTGCACAGTGCTCACGAGTTTTTCAGACATGTATGAGTTTGGTCCATTTACATATCAGGGGTTAATTGTCCACTTACAGCTTCAGGTCATGAAGTCATTTACCCCCAGTTTGCTCCCCCCTGTTCACTTCTGTTGATGCTTTTTGGGGCCTGAGGCAGTAGAGTGTCCTTGGATCTCAGGCCTGGAGGGATTGTTCTGTGTGTCCAAAATGTGAAGACAGTAACTGACACTCTCTGTGGAGCTCAGAGTTAGGATTTTTCAGGATCTGGATAATATAAAAGCTAAAACTCAAGGCATCACCTGGGCTGCTGGGCAATCAACTCCTGGCTCCCTGTCCCCATTCCAGGCACCTGCAGAGCTCTCCCCAAAGACAGTCTGGGATCAAAGCCCTTCACACTGCTGGGAGTTGTGCATCCTGTCAAATTAGGGCAAAATCCATATTTGTCTCAACTTGTTCCTTGCTTTTCCCCCACCATTCCTGTTCTGACTTGGAGCTCACGTCCCCTGTTGCGCCTCTGGTTCCTTGCAGGGGCTCCAGAGGATGGAAAAGCCAATC